CCCTAATGTCTTGTTAGGCCATGTGTTTCCACGTGGATTTGACAAACTCATGTGGTCCAACACATGGGCAGAAGACTGGACTCACACTTTGGATACTAGGTGTTAAACATGAGCAGACTGTTGTGGTCTCAGCAATTGTTAACACATAATACTGTTGTTTAGAGTCACTGAAGTGCTCTGAGGAGAAAAACCAATTAGTCCAATGGAGGTCATGTGATGTGAACACAGGAGTTACAATGCATAGGGCCATATTTTTAGATTGAAAATTGCTGAATTATAGGATTACTTAAGGGTTAAATTGGTTGTTTTCTACAAAAGTTATTTTTTCTCCTAATGGAGTTTCTTGGCTTCAAATACATAACTGGGTCAATATTTAATTTAATTTGTTTATATTATTACAGCAAGAAAGGCATTTTGTTTTTTCGTCTTAGCCTACCTTGATTTTTGGTCTGATAGAGACCAAGATGTTTGGCAGCAATGATTCCGGCCCCAGAGAGCAGTAGAAAGTGACAACTCCAGCCAAGAAGGACCAAAACACAATAATGATGTGGATGTACCTGTGAAGCAGTGATAATATACTGCAATCACATGTCTTTATAGCACTCATTATAGCAGTACAGAGCTGAGGCAGTACCTGTTCAGAAGCACAGTGGAGAGCAGCAGGACTAGCAGGAGAAAGCAGAAGACTGGATACTGTCGACCCAGTTCTCTGACCCGGTTCACTTTTACCCTGCGTTTAAGTCTTTTCAGATAGTCCGTAACGCAACCCATTTTACCCGTGCACGCGTTTCTTACCACACATTACTGTGAAATAACAGACGCGCCGTTGTAAGGGTGTGTTCAACAACACCAAACAAACGCCCCTCGGTCATGGGCTATAACCGTTACCCACAGTTTGAGAACGGCCGGCCGTGTTTCGCTGCAGCCCAGCAGTGACACCATCATGGACTCGCAGAATAAAATACGCAACTGTGTCTGTTTCCTAAATTCAGCTTCGCTCGGTGATATTCGCGATGCACCACACGAACAGCTGTTACCAGCTGCACGAACACCGTCCGTACCGACGCAGTAATACCGTAGTAGAAACCTCTAATAGTTCTCCAACGGCGCCTCCACCTTCCACCTAACGAGCTGTCATTCCAAACTGCCCACCATGGACCAATGTTGCCCACCCTCCACTGAGGGACTCTAGGCTGGCCTCTGTGTGACTGCCTGTCAGCGTGTGATGTCACCTCCGCTGCGTCTACAGCGCTACAGTTTGCCTGGACAACGTACACTGGCTGCGTCACAGTCATAGAAACAAGTGAAGCAGCGGTTTTTCTTTCAACAATAAACCGGGTTGCCAGGTTCGCCTACTATAGGCCTTTAAGGGCTTGGTTACGCTCGCAAATGTAAATCACGGTTTGTTTTTTTTAGTTAGTGCACCTGCTTACTTAGGCTTACACTTATATTATCTTAGTCCATAGGCAGCCCAAAACCAAAAAATAAATACAATTATCAATATATAGTAAAAGTAAAATTTTAAATGTTTTTTAAAATAATTTGTAATTATTTATCATTTGGAATAATTGCGTGAAATCCTAAATAAATGTCTTTAAACATATTATAACCTATGCTTTCTATCCTTCATATTGATGCCGTAGTGCTGGTGGTGGTGGTGGAGTCACTGTACACCTGCTTGCTTGTTTCTTTCGCATAATCTGGCAACGATGTACGTGAACAGTAAATCTAAAGGGGCAAAGTAAAGGTGGGAGTGGCGGTTTTCCGACATGTTTGTTTTACAGTTTAAACAATAATTAGACCAGGGATAAAGTAGAAACCGAAACATCGGCGTTACACATTTCAGTGGCGTGTGTCAAAATATTGTATTATCTTTCCTATTGTGTTTTACTTTCATATCTTTCATTGGTGTCTAAAGGTTAACGCAAAGCCATGCTGATATAAAGCTCCACTGCGTAAGGTTCAGGTGTAATTACTCGTCATTCTTTTGCACTGGCCAAAATTGAAAATTCATACATTTTACGTTTGAATTATCTGTTTTTATTACCGAGGATGGGGCTGTTTTATATATATTAGAACGTGTGTGGGTCTTTTTTATGGAGACAGCCATGTTGCGCTTTTTATGTACCGGTCAATGCAGTTAACCAGTTGTTCAGAAATAGATGGTGGGTTGAGACCAAATCTTACTTCCTATTATGTTGTTGAAATAAAAAAAACACCAAACTTTTTAAACATAAGACTATATTTCTTTAAGCTTTACACTATTTTATTAACCTTAAATTACAAATAAATAAATAAGGTGATGAATGTTTGCTAACATGTAGCAACAAGATGGCCAACATTGAGCATGTGTGACAGATCTGAGAATTGTCACATAAGTAAAAGTCATGGCCAACATTGAGCATGTGTGACAGAACTAATCTGAGAATGGTCACATAAGTAAAAGTTAGTATTGAAAAATGATGTAAAAGGTTAAAAGAAAATAGGTTTTGCCAAAATACTAAAAGTTTCAATTCACCAAAACATAATTATCCCATTATCAGCAGTGAGCCCATGAATTATTACATTGCAATGGTTACATTATAACAATGGAATGTCACTGAAATATTTATTAATGTTTAAAGATATTTTAAAAGTAATAACCGAATCTAGGACTTGTTTCTGGAAAATTAATTTTACTTGAGGAAAGTGCTGTGTTCAGTGCACCTAGCTACAATGACTAAATAAGACCTCATTTCAGACAAGAAAAAAAAGCACTGCTGTTAACACAGGCTAAACCAGACCACATTGCTTTTGAGACAAGTGCCTTGTTGCTTTTACTATGGTACAACAGATATAGCCATAACCGAGGACCTGCATTTAGTATAATTGTTTAAGGCAGTTAACTAGCATGTCATCATTGCATTTTTTCTGAACTTATTTTTAAGCAATGATCAAGTAAAAAGGTAACTCATGTACCTCATTGGGTTATCAACCAAAACGTAAGACACAATTAGAAATCAAAAACTTTATTACAAAAATAAGTTACACTCACCTCCATTTTACAGTATAAAACAATTTATTTGCAGGAATGCAAAAAACGTTGTTGGCCACCAACAATAGTTTAAAACTGCTAACATCTTTTTTTCAAAAGGTGGTTGTTACGAGTTCATTGAGGGAGTTAACTGTATAGAAAACTGGGATTGAAGAACGCAGTTTCCTTTATGCTATACCTGGAAAGAGAATTCATTCACTGCAGTATCCCTTGTCACCACTATGTGGCTACGATCCCTCACCAAATCACAGCAGCTTATGTTAGCAAACGCGCTCACAGGCTGCGCAATCATACATTTCTTTAACCATCCATGAATACTCATGATTTTCGACATGGTTACCATCTTCGGAGCTGGGGAGGGATCATTTCATAACATGATCTTACATGGTTAAGGATTTGATTAGGTTTTTGACATTATCTTGTAGTTGATGTAAATGAACTGTCAATATAAAAACAAACCCACTTGAATACAGTGGCACAAAAGGGACACTGCAGGGCATCATTTTGTTCTTATTTTTTTTTTTTTTTTATCAAAGGCAGTTGGATGCCTGTGATGAAGAAGCCTTTACAAAAGTAACATTTTTATCCGAAAAACTATACAACCAGTAACTACATACTCTGAAGAAGCAAGGCGGCTAATTCAGTTCAAAATAGGATAAAAGCAGGGCTTGTTCAGACTCATCATATGAGATTGTTTTGCATGCCCAGTTTGACTGTTTGCAGTGTCAGAGCTGCAGCAAAAAGAACTATATTACATTAAGTACATCGTTTTTACGCTGCAGCTCTTGTGCATATTTTGTACGGAAACAAGCCCTGCTTTCATCAATATAGTTTCCCTATTTACAGTACAGGTCGGGTAGTTTAGTCCTCTGTACTGAGGTAGTCAACCAACCCTTTAAAGACAAGTTCTGAAAAGAACCACTTTCCTGGAATGCCTGACTTATCCATGCCAGGTGGGTACACCCTAAAAACCTGCAAATGTTCTCTTTCAAACATCCAGATCAAACGATTAAGATTAAACATGGATATTCTGACAATAAAAATTGCGATTAGCACAAAAATATACAATAGCATCAAGCTCCTTTGAGCCACTTCAAACCTAAGAACTTAAAAAAGTGCAAATTCTTCAATAATTATTTAAAAAAAATGGCAGGTTTAGGGACAGGGATGGGGGAGATTGTAAGGGCAATTCATAGAGTCCTGTATATTAGGGCTGGATATAGGGGGCTAAGGGCTAAAAGGCTGTGGCAAGTATTCAGAATCTTCCGATAAACTTTTTAAGGTGGCAGTTTCAGAAATTAAAAAAAAAAAAAAAAAAAAACATAAGGGGGGGCAATGCTTCTTCTTCTGTAAGGCTGGAATTTCATTGGACCTTTTGTCGTGCTCTATTGTTTCAACATCCATTGCAGCTTACGGTGTTAACCCCACACATCAAGTCAGTATCCATTGTGACAGGTCAGGAGCGGACTCGGCCTCGTTTTCCTGCTGGACCAATGAGGAGACGAATGATTAGCGAGAGTAATCGACCGTGCACAATTTCCTCAATCAGCGAAGATCTAATTAGGACACAGAAATAATAACAATAAAAGAAAGTCCTGCTACCAAAATGGCATTTGGCTAGGTCACTGAAAATCATATATTATGTTTTGAATGACCTTAGTCTACTGGCAGCAACAAGCAGACTGGCAGTGCTGAAAGATGACACCTGTCAGGGATTACTTATGAGGCCAATAAACAGGTGTACCCGTTTAAAAGTCAGTGAGACAGTCTGAGCTTATGTCCTGATCATTGTACTGCATCAGGTACAATGCCAACATCTTCAACAGTCAACTGAAGAGCACTGCTTTAATTTACTTCAGCTCTGTCAATAACTTGTTTCCCCCATTTTTATAACCGACTATAGCACACAAACAGGTAAAGATCAAAAACAATCAGGGGAAAAATGTGTTATTTACCTCTGCTGTTGGCAGGGCCTCCCCGCTGGGTGAAGGTCAGCCTGCCCCTCGGTGTGACAGTGCCACGACCTCTGGTCTGACTGGCACCACCGCGCAATCCTCCTCTCACGCCTCGCCCTCTCCCGGTCCCCTGGAAGTCCTCATAGCAATAGTATGGGTCGTCATAGCCACCCCGGTAGTTGTGATAATTGTATCCATAGTAATCGTAATAGTCTTCGTAGCAGTAATAATCATGGGGGTAAGAGTAACCCCCTCGACCCACTCTGCCTCTGCCCCTTGTGGGTGGTGGCATATGAGGAGGCCCATAGTAATAGTATTCATCATACCTGAGAGGAAATGAGGGATGGAGACTGTAAATGTGGATTCATCTTCAGACAACTTTAACGTGGTGTCAAAAGTGCTGCTCTGTGCTTTCTTACATTTGTGTTTTAGCGGCTTGTCTTTGGGCTTTGCGCTCTTTCCTCTTCTGGTCAGGGGGTTTAGCAAAGACAATTTCAATAAGCTCTCCTTCCAGGTCTTTGCCATTTAGATCAGCCAAGGCCTATAAAATGTAAACGGGACAAAGTCTTTAATAGAGACTACATACCAACAGGTGTTCTCAATTAGGCACTTATTTTCTGTTTCTCTACCTTCACGGCACCGTCTCTTTCCTCAAAGTGAATAAAGGCGTAGTCTTTCAACTTCTTCACCCGCTCCAGTTTGCCAAATTGACTGAAGGCCTTTTCAAGTATTTCCTCCGTGACAGTGCTTGCTAGGTTCCTAACAAAAAGCACCTTGACCTAGCAAAAAAAGAAGAAATACAAAATCTTTTTTTTTTGAAAAAGGGGAAAACACACATTAGGAGTTTTGATTTAAATGTTCATTTGTCCTTTACCTTGGCCATAACTTCTGGATCTGGGTCCTCAATGGGATCGGCCCATTCTACAGTCACAACATTTCCCCACACCTTCACTTTGCCACTCATCAGCCGGCGACGGGCCTGGGCTGCCGTCTTGTGGTCTTCATACTCCAGGAAACAGAACCCTCTGTTCTTCTTCTTGTCATCTGGTTGGTGGTACAGTATGACGTCATTTAGACCTTCTATAGAAACAGGAGAGGGGGAGAAAAAAAAGAAGTGTTGTTGAAGAGCTTAAAAAAAAGAAAAAAGGAGTTCAAATGAAATATTCCAGTTAAAAAATGAATATTGATGTACAATAGAAAGTGTCCAGTCAGATCTTAGCGGTAAACTTTCATAGTGACCGAAGTCATTCCATTGCAGTAAAAGCGTCATCATTTGGACACAATCTATGAATTACCCACTGATCATTAACATTTCAGTGGAGTGTGAATTTTATCTTACTTTAATTATGTGAAGTTGTTGGAAAGAAAAATAAAAGATGCAAACCTACCTGTGACTTTTGCAAATTCCTCCACAATTTGATCTTTTGTTTTACTCTTGGGTATGGAGCCAACAAACAGTCTATTATTGGCCACAGAGATGCACACTCCGATATGTTTGCCCGGTCGAATTTCACTGTTGTTGCACTGCAAGAGGAAGATGCATCATGTAAGTAAAGGATGTTTTGTGTTTGATTTATTTTTTTCTCACCCAGACAACTCTAAACTAACAACACTGTCAAAACATCTTTTTTTTAGGTTGTGGCGACAGAAAACTCACCAACTTGACAGCCTGCTGTGCAGCTTCTTTAGTGCAGAAAGTGACAAAGGCATAGCCTCTGTTCAGGCCACTGAAAGGATCCATCATCAGACGCAGGTCCCAGATTGGGCCAGCTTTCTCAAAGAGTGGAACAAGCTCATCCTCAAAAAGGTCTCTAGGGATTTTTCCTACAAATATCTTTAAGGCAGAAAGAAAATATTACAGAAGGTAAGGTCAACTTTATTACTTAATGTGATGTAAGGGTTAAAATATATACACAAGTTTAACTTGAATATGATTTGTGTCAAGGATTTAAAAGTTATGTCATGAAGCGTAGGGTGTCATACCTCTGTACCAATGGTGGGTTGTGGCACTGACTGGGCTGACTCTGGTGGGGGACCACCATACTTCCTCTGGCCTGTTGTAACATCAAGTGTGTAGCCAGTTCTTTCCAGCAAAGCCTAATGTTAAAAAAAATCCTGAATATGCAGTACAAACCAAGTTCATCTTCCATTCAGAGATGACATGTTTTTACATTTCAATCCAGCAAATCAGTATTCACATGTCCTAACCAGTTTGCATGTAATCCTTGAACAGAGACTCCATTCTTACTTTGATTTTGGCTTCATCTGGTCCTTTATTGGTTTCTGACACTTTGGTCCCTTGTTTCTCTCTCTGCCTGTACGTCTTCATCACGCCACAAAGAAAGGCACTTTTGTTCTGGAGAGCGAGAAAAAAAAAAAATACTGTCAATGTATTCATTTGTGTCAACATCATCAGGACAATTTCTTGTTATGTGTTCACCACAAATTGAATAATCTTTTACACAGGACGGCAGGAGACAAGACAGTCATGTTTGACAACATAATGCCAATGTGTGCAGACAAACTTCAGATGACAACATTAGACAACTGTTTGAATTCACACCTGAACATGTGAGAGGTCGCTGTCCTTGAATTGCAAAAGGACCTGCAGAGCACCTTCCTCGTTGAATTCTTTCAAAGCCTCAATCGCTCGATCGTCTAAGTCACAGTGTGACACCAAACCTGGAGGGATGGAGACGACACACAGCAGAGTAAAGTACAGTATGACTCGTATGCAGTGGGGGAGAGCAGAATCTAAAGAAGGAACAAATTTAATTAACTTTGTATTGTAATGATTTAAACTTCTTTGAAAAAGAATTTACTGTTTCTTACTGTACATTTAAGAAAGAGTGGGGCCAAAATGAGTTTAACTGGATTGAGTAGCCAGCATGCATTTTACCCTCAAACCAGCATGTTTTTGCAGAACTAATCACAACAGATGTGACAGCGTAACTTGATATGCCAATGTCCCTCTACATTATGACCGGCAATTTTAATGAGCTGGTCTGTGCTCGCCTCTATGGAGGGGCTGTCACCTGTCCCATGCAGCCACACACCAGACAGCTGCTACCATTGTTTCTGCCTCCGCCCCATCTGGTTGAGAAAGACCAGACCGGTATTTTTCTGACTGACCAAAGAAGTCCTAACATGACCCCCACTAACACTGTACCTCTGCAACTTGTTAAAATCCACAGCAAGAGACAGTTAGGTTGCAGCAAAAATCTTTTAAACTTTCTGAACCCTTTGCAGTTGTTTTAGGGCGATGTGAAAGTTTTCTTAGAAATTAAGAAAGAGAGCTCCAGAAAAATGGTCCTTAGGACAGAACGTATCATTCACTCTGACACCAGTGATCATGCAATCACATTGGGAATGCAAATGCTGCAATCATGTACACACTTTTGTGTAATTTAATGTTTTGTAGCACTGCAGTACCCATTTTGGTAGGAAACCACAAAAAGTTGCTTTGAGATCCCAATCCCCCACCTATTTCAGAAAGGTAATAAAATGACAGTACATGCAAGAAATTGAAATATTTGCATATCGGAATATGCAAGTGTATTTACAGTGTCTTACCTGCTATGTAAATTTCATCTAGTTTTTCAGCAACTTTCTGTGGTAAACCAGCTTCTAATAAAGTCTGGAAGTGCTCAGAATGGGTAACTGCAGCAGAGGTGTCCATTGGTTCTTCTGGACCATTTCCATTAATATGTTCTGTGGCCATGTCTCCAGAAATCTGTATAAATGCAATGAGCCAAATTAATTTTGGGTCACGGGCAATACTTTGGATTTGTTCAGGAGAGTATTAATTGTATTATTCAGACAAATAATTACACACTGTAAACAAATACTGATTGTACCATATCAATCATAGAGAGTGACAATCAAACAATCACAAATCATTAGACAGGACAATAAGTGAGTGTTTCCGTGAGCGTTCATGGTCATATACTCCATCTGACAAGATCACTTGCTGGAGGTAAAAGTCCAGAAGACTGCTTACATCGAGTTAACAAGGAGGCCATTCCACAAAACAAATTTGTTAATATCAACAAGGCAGTGTTCTCTTTTGGTGTATCCCGAGAAAGTTGGCCTGAGGCTGCATTGCTTACTGACGCCTGCATTTCACTTGCAGTCTTTTCTTGTAGAAGCCCTGTTTGCTTTTGGTCTCATAATTACATGTTAGCTTACCTTCTCGATGCTGACTTCAGCACTGGCTAGATAGCCGATACACGTGCTCCATCAGAGAGTGAGCCCCAGTTTCCGGTAGCTGACCAGTCACTAAGTATGCACCCATTTTGTTTATTGACACCTTGGGGTAGGACTGATCGCAAATATTCAAATACAATCACGATTGTACCACATTTTTTCTAATGTATTATGGGATAGTCAGTGGCTTCGGGCTCTGGTCATATAATTGGATCCGTCAATGCTGAACTCAGCAAAACGTGTACAGCAAACTACTGTTTTGACCAAATTTTAAACACGACCTGCGTTACGTTTAAGATAACATTTCATTGGATATATTATGCAAAGGATTTTCCGTACTATCGGCTGATCCATTACATTATTATCAGTAAGCACGTGTTGTCTCTGTGACTAAAAAATAAAATAAAACCAATAGAAAATACTAAAAAATATCTCGTTAATCGCATAGCATAGCCAATAGGAATAGTTCATTATTGTATTATTGAGTAACTTATATTATTTCATAATTATGACAGCGTTAGATATAGCGGGGAGGGACTGAGTCGCACACGTTGAGGCTAGTTAGCCTAGCGGGCTAATATTACAGCAGCCGGGCTAACCCGAGACATTTATTTAAAACAAAACAATAACCTATCCGTGTGCGTTTTTCATGAATGCACAGCCCTTGGAACTTTGGAACTGTGCAAAATATAACGATTGGGAGCCAAGCTATACAAAACAGTGTTTAAGTCGTGCCAGGAAAGCTTGCTTTGTCCGCTAGTTGTCGATAGCACTACGACAATGAGCATGTCAATTCCACGATCTGTCAAAATAGGCTAACTACAGCTAGCATGCTAATACGTGCGATTTTCAGCGAGGCCATTGTTATACCGTCACTTGTCCACAAGAACTCAACCGATCGACGGAGCGAGACTTTTTTTTAAATTACATTAACTGAGGCCTTCGGATGCAGACCATTAGCTTGCTGGACGCGTGCTTTGTCAACGTGCCGCCACATAGGAAGAGTCCATTTTCAAAAAGCCGGTCTGGAGAACTCGTTCCCTACCACCAGCAGTTCCCACATTGTTTGAAACAGCAGCGCACGATTTACACTTTCAAAGGCATCAGTAAAGCAAAAAATACGTGACCAATAAGTAGTAATTACCCTACCTGCCGCTGGCTCACCAACGCGTATGGTGTTGATTGTTTGGAAAGATAAATGTGGTATTTTAAAGACAGAAAAAGTGTAAAACTCCCGGCACTGGTCCGGCTTCAGTCATTCACTCTTGATGATGTAAAATGGCTGCCACGTTCACGCCTCGAGTTTTGTCTCGTCGATGGGGTTTCTTGGACAACCCTGCACGGGCTTGCCTTGTGTGCATTTTACTGTAGAAAAGCAGACACGGGCAGCGGCTTATCGACTGCATTCAGCACCGTTGCCAACGATGGGAATAACACGAATGGTACAAATACACGTCAAATATACATATACTTTAAATATATATTAAAATAAAATAAAAATACCAGATGGAAACCAACTTATGCCAGAGTGAATGGTTAAGAAATGAAAGAAGAAATTGCCGCGGGTGAATTATCATCTGAAATATTCTTTAGTGATGTAACGTTTTCATGCTATTCTAATAGCATTGTTGATGTTGAAGCACCTCCACTTCTGTTTTTGTCTTTATAATCAGTGAACTGCACACTCAAGACCAGCCCCATATCTACTGCATGCAGATATTAAATAGAAGCGCTTAACCTCAATTATTCAAGTACAGCATGTCCTCTCTTCAACCACATGGTGTCACTATTCTCATGAATTTAAATATTCTTCAACGAATGAACGTGTCACTTTTATGAGCCATGCGATGATATTATCGTTGGGCTAACTAAATTGGGGCGTGGATTGCACGATTGTATAATAGGCTAAATACCTTGTATATTATTTTCCACTTCTGCTACTGAGACACTTTCGAGATTGACTGCATTTCTGTTCATAATAACCTGAAGGAGGATGGATCATACTGGAAGCAAATAATTTGGTGACTTTACTAATATTTGGAGAGTTACAGGAGAGTTTATAGACAAACGTTAAGAGTCAAATACTGCAGGAATGTTTCAAACTGTCTGGAACCTTATGCTTGAATGACTTATTAAAAAAGATATGATAAACTAAAACATCAGTCAGAAGCAAACTCTATCTTGAGTTTAATTGTTGATTTAACTGCTCAAAACTTCACCTCAAGGTCAGGGCCCACAGAGGAAAACCATCAACAGTGGAGGATCCCAGGAGGTTTGCCAAGGAAAAACAGAGGGAATACCTCAGAACACATGCCTGAGACGTGCTGAAAGTTACTGTCTGACTGTTGACTCTCAGGGTACGGAGCAAATACTAAAAGTAGTTAAGCTTTGAAAAAAATCTGTTGTTTCTGAATACTGCTCAATCTTCCTCAAAGAAACTAGTATATTAGGGAAATCTTTTTTAAAAAAGACCACTACACTGCATACATTTTGGAAATATTTGAATATTGGAAACAACCTGTGTTGCATATGTGGAAAATCAAATAATTCATCACTGTCATTCTAACACCGGCATTTTCTTTGACTAAACCCTCTAGTATTTGACACTGGGATGCCTGTTATCGTCATCACTGCCATTATTAATGGTCTGAGTGTTTGGCTCATGGCTGAACTAATAAAACTTTTAACTGGTAAATGACTGCTAAAACCCCTGCAGTTATAGAACATTAACAGCTGTATGATGATAGCTGGGAGAGAGCTCGAGGAATAACTTATGCAGGTGCGGAGGAATGAAGCCACAGAATTGTTTCCTTGGGATCTTGGTTTCTTTTGTATAAATATGAATTCAAGATGTGTTGCAGGCACGTGACTGACTAAATAAACATGGATAAAGAAGTATTAAGGCTTGTCGAATATTAACAGGACATACCAAGTGGAGACAAAGATATTGTTACAGTGGGTGGATGTCATAGAAATGTCTGTTTTGAAGTTACAGCACAGGAGTTTTACTCCAACTCAGCTGAATTCCAGATACATGATACGTTAAATATTTCTTCTAGGTTTTTGTTCTGCTACAAGAACAATGTGTCGGTGAACACAACGAGATGAAGGCAAGCAAGGTCCCGTGTAACTTATTTACAAATGAGGCCGTCACATTTTTGTTTTAATATTTTTAGCAGAAACACTCATTTCTAATGAAGTCAGGTTTACACCTATGGTGCTATGTTACATACAATATAGATTTCATGTGCATCATTATTGATATTCTTACTCCAGTGTACACTTTAGAGTACGGCATGTGTGATGGAAATTGTAACAAAGCTTAGGTGTAACATTATAGCCCACTGAATCTGCAGAGGATCAGTCGTTTGAAAAACAAAAAAAAATAGCAGAATATAACAATGAAAAACACAATGTTATCATGTTTTTTTCTAACACACATTCTCAGACTTATTCCAAATGCACTGCAGCTTGGTCACTTGCAGTGTATTTGTGGTTCAATTAATTATACAGGAGCCTTATAGGAGGGGCACTGGAGGTTTAGAAATGTTAACATTACAGAGTCTGGATTACTTTAAAATTGTTTGGACATACACGGTCTGGGCGTGTTTTTGTAATATTAGACAGTTAAACAGTCAGCATGGTTTTCTACTGTGGGTGGAAGCTGTAGAAACTACAGAAAACCCATGTGAATGTGTAAACTCCACCATCTGTGACTGTCAGATTTGAACAAGGCAACCCTTCCATCCAAAAACCTTGAATTTTGAAACATTTATTCAATTTACATTGAACTGTGATCTAGTCAGGCCACATGTGCCCCTTGAATATCCTAATAGTATTCAAATTTACAATCACAATATTCAGCTGAGGCTGATCTTTTTGTTTGTTCTTGGTTTGTTTTGATCTAATTATTTCTGCTAGCTAACAGGTTTTATTCACATTCATTACTTCATAGACATCACTGCAAATGGTTAGGCCATTGTCAAACAGCAGCCAAACAAAGCAAACATTCTGCAAAAGCTTATTAAATAGCTGAAAGATCACAAAAATGGGCTAAAATTTAACCAGAAAGGGCAATCGAACATATTGAAGCTAACGAACTGGATTTAAACTTGCATAGAAACAACAAAAAATGTATAGTTAGTTTAATCATTCTGACCTAGAATGGCTCTAAATACCCATAGCACCAGGTTCAGGACACGAAAGCTACCAGCCCATCTAAGTGTCCTGGGTCTGTCTCAGACAAATAAAAATTCTTAAAAATTTCATAAAATTTTCCACAAGCTAAATATGTAGCACGACCCAGAACCAAACTGACAGAAACAAGGACACACAAAGTAAAAGGGTAAAAGAGAGAGAGAGAGAGAGACAGCCTTCTACTATCTCTGTGATTTAATGTGTCATCCTCCTCCATGCTTATTGAATTACCAAGTCCTAGACCGAGGATTTATTACCAACGCAACCAAGGACACAGGACCTTACATTAAGTACATAAACATGCAGGTGAAATGTGAAATTAATTTATATTCATCCTTGACATTTCAACAAACAGATTCACCCGAAGATAAGAAGAGATAATATAATCTTCCATATATTCATAGTCCTTCAACTAGGCCACTCTTCACTGAGGCAAAGCCGAAGGGTTTTTATTAATCGTAAAACACAATACACTAATGTTGTTGGGTTTTTTTTGTTTTTAAATAGTGATTTATTAAAGTGACTGTTTTTAATTTGTCTTTTAGGAAAAGAGCTTATTAAATGATAAATCACTGAGACTGATGTGTATCCTGAGATTTCAGTTGCAAGTAATTTTATTCATGTAGTACTAAAATATAATTGGTTTAGTAGTTTAAAATATAAAATATATATTCATACAAAGTAAGTGTCTATATTTCTGGGTTACAGGAAGTGTATTGTACTGTGTGTATCTGCAGCTCATCTGCCCTCTGCCTGTATTTTCTCTTTTCCTTCTCTTTTGCAGGTACTCAGGATTACTGTGGAGATGACTATTGCAATGATTCAAATGATAATGAAAACCTGGATTTCAGGGGGCTAAGACGAACTGAAAATGTGAGAAAATTTACAAATATTTTGCTGTAGAGCTTTCAAAGTTTGGGTTTATTTATGAAAATATGGTTTTGTCATAACATTTTCAGAGGTGTACAGACACTGCTACCAGCTGTTTGAACTGTACAATACAGGGAAGACTCGCTGCTGCTTTTCCTGTCATGATTAGTGGTGTCCATATGGCATCGTACGGGCAGTGCTAGCCGTTAGAGGCAATTCAATTCCAATTTTTGTGGAACAATTTGATCACGTTTAGATTTGTAGAAAACCATGATTTTATGTATCAGCAAAGTCAACTTAAGAAGCAAAGCATTAGAAGTACACTATAGCGCCTCTACAGTGTGTGTGAGGAATCTACAAGGCATGCTTTATCTTTACAGTGAGACAAAATGATTGCATTGTAGACAAACCAGAGCAGAAATTCTAAAAATAGTCTTTAAGAAAGGCAAACATGTTTTTTTTTTATTTCTTTCCATATGTCAGAAACATAATTATGCCTCTTCTAGACCATTTAAGGAGTTAATTGTGCTGAGTTAAATGTGTACAAATGTTCCAGCTTCAGTTGACCGAAATGACCAGGAAAAACCGGTGATCCTTCCCTGACAAATAAAAACAGTGGAGTTGTTACCAGGCAACCAAAAGTCAGGGATTACGTGTAACGTCCATAGTTAGAACAGTTGGCTAATGAAAGTGTGTTTTGACTTTCAACTGTGATGCAATGGCATAATGAAGGAGATGGAAACTGAGATCATTGATAAGGAAGCCCAGGTATAAAAGCAGATGCTCTGACTCACATGTCCCCAGTGCCAGGAGTTCTCTACAGACGCACCATGGAAGGGAAGGTTGTTTCTCAACATTGTAAACATCTTTGTCTGAGTAAATTTTTCATTTTTAATTGCCTTTATTCAACTTGACTGTTCTCGTTTGTGTCTTCAGGCAACCGCTGCGTCCACAATGGGCTCGGTGAAATCAGCAACTCTGTCTCTTCTTCTGTTGACCTTTTCTCTTTATGTAGCTGACTCTTACCACAGCAAAGACCTACAGAAATGTAAATGACATTCATTTTGTTCTTCTTGTCAAGTAATTTAAAAAAAGACTGTACTGAATATTTACCATTTTAACAACCATGTTGTACTTGTTTGTTTATCCATTCGGTACATCCGATCTTCCAGTGGGCTGCGAGAGTTGCACTCTGGGAAAGAATGATTTATTCTCACTATATGGTCCAGTCTACCAGTGCCAGGGCTGCTGCTTCTCACGAGCGTTCCCCACTCCTCTAACGACATTGGAAACGATGGAAAGTCGAAAGAACATCACTTCAGAGGCGACGTGCTGCGTGGCCAGGTCCAGCTATGAGGTAAACAAGTGCAGTTGGCATATATAAATAGAGTTTGTGTCCTTTTTGATGCAAAATGATGGGTTTCAACTCACATTAACTTAACTACTGTTAAGAAGTGTGAATAGGCGAGAGTCTAGTGATATTTTCTCTTTTCCTTGGCAAAGGTCCCTGACCCACTTAAAACTAGTCTGTGACCCACTTTTGGCTCAGGACCCACCAGTTTAGGGAAATATTTTTTTCCATGTCTATATCTTTGTAAGTACAACTTCATGTTGTGTACATGTCTTTAGAGTACATCTAATATCTACCTGCTAGTACTTATGTGGGTCAAGAGTACTTCAAGTGCTTAAATATATTTTTCCAATACTCACAGTTTTTTGTGCAGGCCTGCAGGATATGGGTATGACTTCCAATGTGTTTTCCACTGTTTCTCCAGCATTTATCTGAGGCAGATTCTTGCCGTTTAGGAAGAAGTGCTTGTCAAGTCGGCCAATCACAAAAGAGAAAATCAGTGCATTTAGTAAAGCCGGCTTAAGTGTTGCCAACTGTTACGTGGCAGTTGATGTAAAATGGATATCTAAAAATGTACTTAGATTTTCTCACATAAACATCTCTGCAGCAGTCCTCTGTCTCTGTAGTCCACATTTAGACGCTAGTGTCTAAAACTGGCAAAAACAATAGGAAAACATTGATCTTCCCCGCTTTGTCGCAACATTTCAGGCTGCTGGTCAAATCATTTGTTCTTATAATTAATCACTACAATTGATCTTTGCCGTGATGCCACAGCCAACCTGGGCATTGTTGCTAAACAGTTTGAAAATCCACCCAAATGCAAATCATGTGAAATGCGTTTCAAGACAAGTCCAGTAGTGCCCTGTGTGTTTTGGCTCGGTATTCTTTGGCAGCGTCTTCTTGGAGTCCGTTGACACATTTTAACGTCTGCGTGTTGTTAACAAATCCACCAAAGGCACTTGTTTTCCTCAGACTCAGATGGTTTCATTTAAATAATTGTTCCACGTCCAAAGAGGTCAAATTCTCCAATATTCCACAAAGAAGCAAATTATTCCTCTTGCTCCCCCATTCATCACTATGTAAATAAATATTTCATTTTTAAGACAGTGATAGATAGATAGATTGTAATCAATCTATGAAAGTGGTAGATTTTTACGAATTACATAAAATCACACAAACATGTTGTATATGCTGTATACTGTGTACATACACCTGACTTTTTCCTCCTCATCTGTTGTTCCTTCAGGTAGTGGTGGCTGGTATTGTGGTGAGAAACCACACAGACTGCCACTGTAGTACCTGTAAATACCACAAGATATGACAGAACAGGGGACCACGCTGCAGAGCTCAGCTTCACGGCACATCATTATTCATTTAGTGAACTGTGCCAAAGATATTTTTTCTTTTTCAAAAATGTGTTTTAAAACCGATCACACTTTTGCAGTGATCCTTAGTCTGTGACGTGTAATTAGTCCACACACTGTCCTTTGTAGATGTACTCTGTGTAATCGATGATGTAATGGAAAGCAATTAAATGAAAACATGCATCTTTATGTTGTTGTTGTTTTGTTTTTTTATTTTACATTCAAGTGTTCTCTGAAAGTCAAACTTGTTTGTTACAATAGTTAAGGACACTGGTTCCCAAAAGGCGGTCAAGGTTCTGTAAGGGTTGCAGATGCAGAAAGACAACTGAATTTCAATGTAATTATTTTTTCCTATTTAGCCTAAAGTGGAAATATTCAAAATTTTTAAGTGTTTTTAATAAATTTCAGTGGATCCTATCTACAGAGGGTTGTTTATATGGAAATGCATAGTAGAGAATAAAGGTCTTAATACAAGATATGTTACCTAAAATAATTAAAAAACATTTACAAATCTACTAATAAAAGTCAAGGGACTATAATGTAGAATACCATTAGGTGTGTCATAAATGGTTGTAAAACAATCAGAAACGTGTTCTTGTCAAGTTGTTTAAATGGTCCACAATGTTCCTAGTCTTTAAAAGATAACCTTGAAAAAACAATTCACATCGTGAGCTAACTTTTGTATTAGTGCTCAATAGAACATTTGTGAAATACTCTGTTTGAATGAGGACAATGAAAATCAATTACGAATAGATTTTCAAAAAATGACAGGCACAAAGTTGAATGGAGATGAACTTTAATACTAGGGATAAAAGCCATTGTAGTAAATACAAAGTGTCGAACTGTATGAATGGAGTCATACAGTTCTCTTTCAGTTCTCAACGTTCTCTTTCAGGTCAAAACACCAATAATGTAAATGTAATTCTATAATACATCCCCAGCATTTTAGAAACACTCTGGTTGATAAACAACTCCCAGCATTTACAGATGAACGTTCTTTGTTAGATAATGGCTTTAAGGCAGAGTTTTCCAGCTGACTGACTTCTGCTCCTGAACATCTGCTGCGCTGAAGCATCAGTGAACACTGAACAGGCCTGATGAATGTAACCCAACACCGTGGCCACTGCAGAAGGGTCAGCTCTGTCGGTGGTAAAGTATTGACGTAGTCTGTGAAGTTCTTAAGAAGCACAGGTATAGAGATATAAACGGGGGGTGGGAGTTACCAATGACTCCGCTCGTGTTTTGCAACATAAAGTTGAGCTAAAAAATGGCTATGGAAATTCTAATCGTATTCTGAGTTGTAAAAACTTTTGATTCTAACCTTAATTCTTAAAATAAATGGGACCCTAATAATACTACTACTAATCGTAATAATAATAATACTGAAAAAACTCTGTTTTTGTTGTAAATACTCGAAAACGCTGCTGACCGCTTGTACCGAATAAAGTGGTCAGTATGTGTATCTTGTGCCCCTCTCGTTTCCTCTCTCCCTCCCTCTTCTTCCCAGCCCTGCGTGCGCGTGCGTGTCCGACCCTGGCAGCGTAACATCTGTGCGTACGCGGTCGTGATTGTTGTGAAGATGGCGGAGGGGGAGACAGAGAGGGAATATGACACACGGAAAGCCATCGAGGAGCTACGGGAGCGCTTCCAGGCTCTGACCGCAGCCTTGAAGGAGAGCTCGCAGTCCGCGCTGGAAGCCTCGCTGCATTTCTGCCAGGAGTTTTGCCAGGTGAGCCCCGGCTCTGCTGCCGCTCATCCCCGGGCAGCAGCAGCAGCAGCCTGCAGCCGCTCTGGTTTCTGGCCGAGGATGCGCGTCTACGTTCGCTACAACAATGTAGCAGCGGAGCTAGCAGCCGAGCTAAGCTAGCTGCCTGCTATGTCGAGAAACTTCTCTTGTTATATTCTCCGTCCATGACAATGTTTATCCCCTGTCGTTTACACTTACATTTAAATGAAAACGCACGCACACTATGCACGAATTTCTCGTATTTTCCAGGCCATATAGCTGAGACTATTTGAATGTAGCTAGCTGGTATGCAGGGTCCCTCTGTCCTGTGCAGTGGTCATGCTGTGCAAAAAAAATGGGTAGCTTCGTTGGCGAGGTTTTTAAGTGAACGATTGCAATAATATGCACGTTAATACACGGCTCCCCCAACTGCAGGGGGTGTTATTTCAACGTTGTAACGCAACGTGTTGGCGCTCGCGAGGTTTTAGTTTCTTGTAGAAATTGTCCAGTTTGGTAAAGCTGCCTTTATTGTACCGAAAGATCAATGATGTGGTGCTAGCCCGGGCCTTTGCTCTAATTAATCTGGCTACCCAACACACACTCACATGTATGGGAGAGAGAGAGAGAGGAGGGGGTGTTGATTTTAGCCAGGTTGCACCAGAATTGCGAAGAAAGATATTGACTTGGCGTCAGTGTGGGAGTTTTTAAGTGATGGTCCTGTCGCTGACCGAAGCAGTGATTTAAAAGGGAAAGTGAGGCAGTGGTCACTGACTCCATTTCGCATCCAGCCTCTTCATTAATTTGTCCTGACCACGTAAAATCCAGCGCTGGGGCCCAGATCCCTTTCGTCAGAGACGATAAAAGTTTGTGTTGTTGCTCCACGTGAGCAGACACTCAGGAATTTACTCAGTTTGTAAAGTTATTTGAGGAGATAAGTGGGAAGAGCGCTGGAGCAGCAGAGGCATTGAGCTGGAAGTTGCATATGTGCGCCTGTGGGTGTCGGGTCTCTTAAAAGAGAACAGGAGTTGCAGAAAAAGAGAAATATTTAAGTGAAATCAGTTCCAGTGTCTGTGGAGAAATGGAATGGATTTTGATGCATACACTTCAGGTCCTGCTGTTGCTGACTAATGGAAAAAAAGATTGGGGGGATGAAAGGAATTAAGAAAAAACTTAATCTCCTGGTTGTTGTTTTTTGACATTGTTTGTAATAAATACTTTGTCTCAATAATATAAGATAATTTTTTTAATGTGAATATGTTTTGGTATACCTCCTTAATGATGGCATAAACCCTGGTTTTTAGATCATAGCAGAGAATTTCTGTGAACTGTAGGTTTTCTGCATTCAAGTCAATAACTTTCACCTTGACTGAATGTAAATGCTTTTAAATTACAGTATTTTGGTAAAGGTTAAAGAACAAGATGTAAATTTGCTGCTTAACATGACAGTAATGATTTTTACAATCCTTCAATCTGGTTTTCATTTCCTCTGACTGTTCCATTGACCATTGGGTCTGTAAACAAAATGAACTGTTAATAAGCATTTTTATCTTACCTTTAGCTGTTTACGTTTGGGTTTTCTCCACATTCCAGTGACCATCGGCTTTATCTTAAAAAGATAAAACTTAAGGTTAAGTACCACAAACACTTGTTGACAGAAGGGTAACAGAGTAGTCGTTGACTGATAGACAGACATTTCCATCAGTAGTAATACTGAGTTTCAAGATACAACAATCAAGTTTGTCAATAATGTTTTTTTTTTGGATATCTTCACAAGTTACCCGTTCCAGACCTGCTGCCATGTAATAGTATTTGTAGTGTGTAGTATTTTAATTAAAGGGAATTACTGCTTGTTGCAGCATTGGCCCCAACCCTGAATGCAGACGCTTTGCTTTCACACACTGTTGCTTTAAAGAGTGTGACTTAACGATCCTAAATCCTGCATAGTTTTAATGGTAAAAGTCAGATTAACACAGATATATGAATTACTCCTTTAGGTTGTCAGGCCTCAACACTGAGTCGACTCATTAATGACTAATCCACTACTAAATTATTCAGCAGTTATTCATAAATAATAAGCCAAATTTAAAGTGTGTTTTAGTAACTGAAAAATGAAAATAAATCATCAGCATCTTCATCCTGTTTCCATGTTCCATGTTTTTTTAGTTTCAATCATCAGCATCTTCATCCTGTTTCCAAGTTGTTGTTTTTTTAGTTTGCCACATTTTGTAGAGAAAATGACTGAAAATTAATTAATTAATCTGAAATTTAAAAAAAGATTGAAGTAGTTGCCGTACCCCACATTCTGTCAGTACATGTACAGTTAGATTTGAGTTAATACCACTTTCCTGGCACTCTTAGCTGTCAGGAATTTGAAACCTGCATATTTTTTTTATTGTAACAGCCAGAGGTGTAAATCTGTACATGTTATCACTACTGCACTTATTCATTTTATACACTCAGATACTTTTTTTAACACTTCATCTACAGGGAAACATTTGTTGGTTTATATTGTTGATAGATTATAACGATGGTCTATGAAATAACGAAAAGTAAAACACAACCAGGGACCAGTTATAACTTTGGTGATAAATTCTTATGTTTTTGGGCTGATTTATTAGATAAAATAAATAGAAAGACATTTGTATGGATTAAAAACGTCCACCTCGCAGTTTGATAAAATTAATTAATTAAAATTAAAATTAATTACTTATAATAACCAAGACTGGAAAGAGTAGAAAATGGAATGGAATTTTATTCAATCATAAGGATCTTGGCTCCCTTGATTTAAGACACGTTCTAAAAAGTCTTTAAAAACTATGGTTCTGTTTTTGTGGTGCATTTTGTTTTTATACATTAGGGGGTGCTGTTGTTGTTTATTTTTGTCATAATGTTACTTTTTTGTTCCTCCAGGTCCTCGTTGAACATGCGGGCCGTTGGAAGACCGACGAAGACCCGCTGCCGTTGCTGGAGGTCTACACCGTGGCCATCCTCAACTTTGCGAAGGCCGCCTCCTGTCTCTCCCCCGAATGTGAAAACGTGCCACTCCTACTTGAAAAGTTAGCACTGTGAGTGCAAGATTCTCCGCTTTAGCATGAAGCATTGTCCATCAGTTTTTTAAGATTTTCTGTAATGTGTTTTACCTTTGTTGCACAAAATGTTGTTACATTCTGATAAATGAAGAATTAAAAATGTCAAAAAGCCATTTCTTCAGAGCAATTTTACTTTAGACAAAACCTAATTTTAGGTGCAGCTCCTCAGTTTTAATTTTTTTAATATGAGAAGGAAAGGCTTCCTCACAATGAGACGCTGTATGTTTCTACACTAAACTGAACCCTCTGGAACTTTAAGGATAAAACATACATGGCTGAATTCCAACTGGCATTTGGACATGAAAAAAGAAAATCAAATATTTTCCGAACACTCTGTGTGCCTGGCCAAGACTTTGAGGCTGTATTATGGAATTAAATGTAGAATACCACATGTGGAGCAGAGACATACTTTGGATGAGTTACACTGTAGGTTGTTGTTAATGATTTATTCCTCCTGTTGTTATTTGAATGCACACAGCCTGACTTCACAGTGCCATTTTTGTGAACATTTATTATTTAGCCTCAGTATGTGCACATCCTTGACCCATATTTTTCCTTTTAATAAATGACTGGGTTGCTTTAACAGGAGCTGTGCAGAGCTGCTGCTCTTACTGCCCCACCACGTTCCTGGTGCCTTATGGGAGGAGTTCCAGTCCTCCATGAAGGTCAGTATCCCCGAGGGCTGTTGGTAAACTTTTTTGAAGCCTATACTTAATGAAAATATTTCAAGATCATCCCCGGTTTCAGGAAAAAGGCTAAAAAAGTTTGGACATGGACACGTTTATGACTAGGTCACAACTCTTTTTTTCGGGGACAGAATATCCCAAGTGCTGCAGGATCTTTATCTGGCGTTGCTGTTTAAGCGACTTAGGTTTCTGTGCAGCACTCACACACTTGGAAGTTTCCTCAGAAAGGAATCCATAAGTCTATAAAATACCAATGTAATAATAATAATAACAATTGAAGTCCCTTGTTCATCCTACAATGCCACAGGAGGCGCCGTTAGGGATATGTGGTTCCTCTGGGGCTTCAACCCAGGACCCTTTTGCGTGTAAGGTGGCTGTGTAGGGCAGGCTTGATAACTTCTGCACTATGGAACGAGAAGCCTCTGCATTAATAGTGCTATATGACACCCTTGCTGATGACATGTATGTTTGTCTAAATTTGGTCATCTTTTTCAGTGTTTTTTTTTTTTTTACGAGCAGAACTTATCTGACTACAAAAACATATTTCCATCGTCTGTTGTTCCACCTCAGATGAGCTTTACTACAGAAAACTCATCAAACAAGTTGTTGTTTTTCATAAACTTCTCTTTTAATAAAACCAAACTAAAGTGTAGAAGTGTGTTTGAAGGAGGCGTGCCAACGTCTCTGCAAATGGTATTTGTGGAGTGAATGTGGTTTATTGCAGCATTACACTGATAAAACAGATTGGTGGAGATGTTAATGGCCATAGGTTCAGTGGCCTCGCTGTAACCGTTATTTCACACTCTCCAGTGTGTGAGATTCCAAGTGTGACTCACTGGTGTTTTAGTTAATCTCATTGTCACACAAATATTTGTCTTCTGTTGCAGTTGGCACACGGCCTTTTGCAAGAAAGTGGGAGCACACAGCTTTGTCTGCTCGCAGCTCTGGCACAGCAGGACGGAGTCTGGTCCAACACCACATTAAGCAGCATATTGTCCAATCAAATTCCTCAAACAGAGCAAGGTTAGTTCTCGGAACATGTGCTGCTTTAATCGTTTACTAAATAAAGTTGTTTCACAATTGTCTGTTATTTTTGTCTCTTATTTTTTGTTGTTTTTTCAGTTCATGAGTATCTTGAGTTGGAAGGACCGGCGCTGCTCAACATGCGCATTAAACATCTGATCAAGGTGGAGAGTGTGGACAAAGCTGCGGTCCTTGCAAAGATGTGCTCAGAATATCCGGGATATGAAGGAAAAGGGAACTTCAAACAAACCTATTTACTGTGCATCTGCATGACAAAAAACCAAGAGCAGCTAATGGAAGAGGTGAAACGTGGCTTTATTTGTTTTTTTTCCCTTTGGTTTCGTGTGTTTTGGCTGTTGCTGACATAATATGATTTCCTGCTTATCAGATTGCCTCGATCGACTGTAAAGATGCTCTTGAAATGATCTGTAACTTGGAGTCGGAGGCAGACGAGAAAGGAGCGCTCTGCTTATGCTCTGCCTTTTTGAAGCGACAGCTCCTTCAAGGAGATGTTTACTGTGCCTGGTGAGTCAGAAATGTTTGAGTCAGAAATATGATTTTTGTTTTCTTATTTCACAAAAATAATCTTACGAACTCTGACGTAACTAACTTTATTACCTGGGTTAACATTTAAAAAAGGAAATGTTGAAATCAATTATTATCCTTCAAGTTAATATTTAGCGGTTTTGAGAGCATTCTGGGTTGAAAAAGTAGCAGTTATTAATGAAATGTTTTCTTTTTTTTAGGGAACTCACCCTTTTCTGGAGTAAGCTACTCATGCGTTTAGAATCGTCTGCTGAGACGTTTCTTGGGCACAGCAAAGAGATGGCTCTTCTGTGCAGAAATGTCTGTCACATTCTGTTTCTCATCAAAGTAATTCAAAATGAGGTATGAAAACTACATTCTCCTCTCTGGTAGCATTTAGGACTTCTTTTTTTTAAATCAACATCTCCCAAGTTCTAAACATCAGAAGTAAATTAAATCCACACTTAAGTTTATGTGTATCCTTTTGTCAACAGGTTGGAGAAGTGGGGCTTCCGGTTTGTGTGGAAATGTGCATTCAAGCTCTTAAAATGACCTCTGCTGACCACAAGGAAAGCAAATCTACCATCTGCAAGACCATTTCCTGCCTCCTGCCAACTGACCTGGAGGTTAAACGTGCATGCCAGCTGACAGAGTTCCTCGTGCAGCCTACCGTTGACTCCTATTATGCTGTGGAGTCGCTGTACAACGAACCTGACCAAAAACCCGAGGAGGACGGGAGTCTACGGGTACCGAACTCTTTACGCTGCGAGTTACTGTTGGCCTTGAAGACACAGTGGCCTTTCGATCCAGAGTTCTGGGACTGGAAAACGTTAAAACGCAACTGCTTGGCCCTAATGGGCGACGAGGCAGCTATCGTGTCGTCTATTGACACGCTCAATGACACCGATGAACAGGAGATGGAGAGTGCACTCGGCAAGCTCCCAGAATACGCTGAGCTGGAGGACTTTCTTTTGAGCACTACAAATGAACTCAATGAGATCACAGATGAAAAAGAAAAAAACAGAGAAGCTAAAAAACTACGGGAGCAGGGCTTTGTGTCTGCTCGTTTCAGAAACTGGCGAGCCTACATGCAGTATTGTGTTTTGTGCGACAAGGAGTTTCTGGGCCACAGAATTGTCCGGCATGCTCAGAAGCATTTCAAAGATGGAATGTACCTTTGCCCAATTTGTGCTGACAGTTTTGAAAGTAGGGAGGTTTTAGAGCCACATGTAGCATCACACGTGAAGCAGTCGTGCAAAGAGAGATTGGCTGCAATGAAAGCTGCAAGGAAGGTAACCAAACCCCCTCAGTCGCCTAGAAGCCCTGCGAAAAATTCAAAGGTGACCGTCAAGGCTGACATCAGTCCTGTTAATGCTAATGTCGGGGAACAAGTGGCCCCGCCTGTTAAATTAGAGCAAAATACATCTGACCCACAGATTAGCCCTGACTGTTTCTGTCCTGTTAAAAATTGTTCCAAGGCCTTCAAGTTTTTCCGTAACCTCATGGCTCACGTCAGATCTCACAAGGACGACGAGGAGGCCACGAGGTTTTTAGAGATACAAAAACAGAAAGTCGTGTGTCAGTACTGCAGACGACAGTTTGTAAACGTCAGACATCTTAATGACCATTTGCAGATGCACTGTGGCACTAAACCCTACATCTGCATACAGCTGGATTGTAAGGCCAACTTCAACTCCAACTCTGAGCTCCTCATGCACAGAAAAACACATCCAGAATTCAAAGCTCAGTGCATGTTCCCCAACTGTGGCCAAGTGTTCAGTGAGGCCTACTTGTTGTACGATCACGAGGCCCAGCATTACCTCACCTACACCTGTCAAATGGAAAACTGTGGTAAAATATTCTACTCGCAGTCCCAGTTCTTATCTCATCAAGCGGTTCACTGTGCGAATAACACTGTAAACAACACGCCTGTCACGGATCAAATCCTTCCTGTCACTCCATCTGTCGGAGCCACGGAGAGCACGCCTAACAAAGGAGATGCACATCCTCATGTTGTTACAATTGAAATGATCCGAACTGAGGCTTATGCACCAAATGCGGACTCATCGCCATGCAGGACGCCAGAGGACGCAAATGACCCTGTCTCTGTGAGAGTGAAACACTCTGTTGAAAGCATGCTCAATCCAGCAGCAGAGGGTGAAGTCAAAGAAGCCGAGAAATGCTACACTCCACTCACAAGTTCCTATACGGCTCCTGCTGATTTGAAAGAAGCCCCAGAGGCTCCGCAGGTGCAGCCACCTGTAGCTCGACCAAGCGAGGTTCCGTCTCAGTATCCTGTCACAATCGCAACAAACCCTGTGGTAAACCAGCATGGGGAGGTGCATAACAATGTACAAATCAACGAATTTCCAAACATGACACCGCAGTTGATTTCTCCAGGTCAAATCAAGACGGAAATCTCCGCCTCACTCCAAGGTTATCCACCCAGCATGCCAGCTGCTACGGCCAGCAGTGACGAGAACCTGCACTGCTGCCCTTTTAAAGACTGCACAAGGGCTTACAGTACAAACAAGAGTCTTTCAAGGCACGTGAAGAAACAACACCCTGAAATTTACGAAGATTGGAAATTGGCAAAAAAATACAACAAAGTGGCCAGAATCACTACAAAAAAGTCGCAGGTTGGACCCACCTCACTGACTCAACCGCAGCACCAAGGAAACAGGCCGTCAAATCAGCCAGGTGTGCCATGCAACAAACCGAAGGTGCAGCAGATGGAATACCCGGTGGGGTGTTCTGGCTCACCCTCCCAGTGTTATCCTGCATCAATGGAGCCTGTGCCCATTACTCCAATGGTGAACCCCTCGGTCTACCCTTCATGGGGTAACGCTCATAATCCCAGTGGAATGATGCAACCAGACATGTCCCAGCCATGGACTTCACCTCCTATGAATAACTGCTATCCAGACACCTATAATATGAACGACTACTCTGCCCGCAGCTATCCTCAGTGGCAGGCAGAGCCTTATCAGTCCACAGCATCTATTCCACCTGACAGAGATCAGTCCCTAGTATCTGGCATTGCTCCTACTATGTCACAGGCTCCTTCTGATTCCAGTTTGATGTCTCAGTACTTGTCCAGTTCTCTAATGCTCGATAATGGAGGACAAATGCATAACGGAGCACATCAATATGGACTCATCAATCCTGATGGTGCTGGAGACATGGCTATGAGGAAACACAGTCCAAATATTTCAGAACAAGTGGACAACCAAAACGGTCTGTCGACAGTTGATAGACTTCCCGATGCAAGTTTCAGTGCGCCGTATGCTGCGAATGAAAACTCCTGTCTCACTCCACGCTTGTCTGTTGACGTTCAAATTAAATGTCCTAGTCCCGAGCCACCAGCTGAAGTAAAGGCTGCGGCTGAAATCACTAAAACTGACAGTGCGTCAACTCCTAGTTATGAGCAGACAGACAACTCTGGGGACGGTATGCTAAACCCACAGACTGTCACTCATACAGAATTCCTCTGTGAGGAGGACAGTCCTGATGCTGAGTGTGAGGCGCACACCCCAGATGAAAAGATCAGTGACGTGGAAGTGCAGAAAGGAAAACGCAACAGGTTGAGCAAGCGAACCAAATGGCCTGCCATCATTAAGGATGGAAAGGTCATTTGCAGAAGATGCTTTAGAGAGTTCACGAGCACCAAGTCCCTCGGAGGTCATCTATCCAAACGTTCGCAGTGCAGACCGTTAGATGAAATAGACCTGACGGCCGATCTCCCCACTTCATTTCTCGATTTCCTCAATGACCCACATGTCCCTGAGGGAAACGGGACAGGGTTTAACATGACAAATGGAGATTTCTCACAGGAGTCTTGTAGCTTCACATCATTGATGTCACCCATGGTGTTGAAGCAGGAGCCACAAAGTACAAACATAACAGACTTTTCCAACTCCCTGACAGTTGAAGAAAACCAGGAAAAGACCATGGGTGCCGCTAATCCAAACCTTGCTGGACCTTATCAAGAAGATCATCTCATGGAAATGTCACATGCCTTCCAGAGGTTGGATTTGATTGAGGCCGCCCAGGAGAAAATGCGGAATTCGCTGTTACTGCAGCAAAAAGCTACAAATTCAGACAAACTGATGAAGACGACTGATAAAGAAAAAAGTAAAACGGAGAGTAAAAACGATGACAAGCCCATTGAGAAGATAACCAAGCCTTTTAAATGTGACCAGGAGGACTGCGACTGTTCCTTCATGACAAAGGAGGCGCTATTCAAACACTTGACCAAAATGCACGATTACACCATTGAAATGATTGAGGAATTAAAAAGAACACCCTCAAAGCTGTCCCCGTATCCTTGCCAGATGTGTCCCAAAACGTTTACCAGGACCACCGGGTTGAAGATTCACTACGAAAAAGTCCATCGCTTGTCAAAGGAAGATGTACTGAACCTAAAGATCAGTGCTCGTCACAGACGCGCTTTTAGACTCAACAAAGATGAAGGCGTTGTGAGCCAAGCGCCCAGTGATAACAGCAAGGGTCGCATCCCATCACAGGCTGCTCCTGTACTGCCCGCTATTAAACAAGAACCACTAGACATTGCAATTGCGCCGCAGACAGAAAATGGAACAACAACAACAACAACAACAGCAACAGCAACGACGAAAAACAACACAGGTGTTCACCAAGTGATTTCATCTGAAGAAGTTGTAAAAGAGGGCTTCACACCTGAGGTGATAACGGTTACCAGACTGCCATCTCCTCAGAACTATTTCAATGACAAAATATATGGTGAAGTGGCACCGGTGCCTCAACAAACTCCGGAGCAACCCACAGTGGGTGTTGTTAACCAGAGTCCAGATGGGACTCATAAATTTAATTTAAAAGAGAAACACAGTCCAGTTGGCAGAGCGAAGGAGCAGTGCGGAAAATCAGATGCAGCATTGAGCAAAGTTAAACAGCCAAAATCCAGCCCTTCCACTGCATCTTCCCCAGAGAAACCAGGCAGCTCCAAAAGCACACCAACGAAGGACGAATCCCAGAAGAAGGAGAAAATTCAGAAGAGGCTGAGCCTCAAGATGTGTGATTCAGACAACGCATTCAACCCTTACAGACCGTATCGCTGTGTACATGAAGGATGCACTGCTGCGTTCACCATTCAGCAAAATTTGATTCTTCATTACAAGGCAATGCACCAGGCGTCGCTGCCTGTCGCCAAACCGGAGACGGAGGTTGAAAAGCCTAGTGTTGAAACTACAGAGGAGATCATAGGAAAGGACAATGAAGTCAGATGTCAAGTCAAAAACTGTTCCAGGATTTTCATGGGAATCACACGGTTAGTGCAGCATTACCTTTTACTCCACAAGTTCACCCGAGACAAGGCCACCGCTATGATGGCCACCATGAACATAGAGACTTTCAACTGTGACCGACCGGAGTGCTCACTCCCCTTCAACTCTGTTGATAAGTACATTGAGCACATCAAAAACTACCACAAAGAAATTGCCATTTCTGAAAGTGGCTCAGTTGATCAGACTTTCAGATGCGAGTATGACGGTTGTGACCGCATTTACACTACAAAGTCCAACCTCTTGCGCCACCTGTTAAAAAAGCATGATTACGTTTATGATCCCAAAGCGAGCGACGGGAGACGAAATAAAGCAGCAGGGCTTTTCTCAGAAGCAAATGGAAAAGAGAATGTAGAAAACAAATTCAAACTGAAAAAGAAATTCTGTAAAAAGAAAGAAGGAAAATCTATTGAACATTGGACTAGTTTTGGAAAACCAACACTAAAAACCCACGAGGAAGCAACAGCAATGTGCACAAAGAAGTTCTCCTTGCAGTATCCCTGTATGATCATAGGCTGTGATGCTGTTGAGCGGGCTGAAAGAAATATTTTTAAGCATTATGTCACTCATGGCCTTACCGAGAAATACATTGAAGACCAGAGAAGTCAGTTCATTTTCTGTAGAAAGTACTCTCGTGCCAGATTCAAGGATGCTAATCAGACAGAAGGAGCATCTAGCTCCTCAGAGGAAACGGAACAGGAGGAGGTAGACGTGCCGTCTGAGCAGAAATCTGAGGAGTTTGTAGAAAAACTAAACAATGAAGAAAGCAAGCTGTCCAACGAGGACAGCACAGAATCCCAAGCTTCCGCAATAACAGAGGTTGGAGTGAAAAGAGGCCGTCCCAGGAAACCCACACAACCTAAACCAGCGTGTCCTGAGAGGATGCAGACCCTAAGAAACCGTTTGACTGTTAACAGTTCCAGAGAGAACTCAAATCCTGGTACCCCTGCACCTCAAGATCAACACGATGACGTGGTTGTGTCGGGGTCTTTCAATCCATTAGGGCTTGAGGACTCTTTTCTTAAGTTTTTAGAAACATCGGAGACGACCCAATCTTCCAAACGAAAATCTAACGACAGGTCTTGTGTTGAACTGCCGGCCAAAAGACAAACGCTAAAACAAAAATCCCTAAGGAGTAAAACAAACAATGACATAAGAGACTATGAAAACTTCATACATTTCAGAAACCCCCTCAATCTCAAATCTGTGAGTAATGTCAAGATAGTGATGGATAAAAGTTTTTCCGACGGTGCTGATCTGTTACTAAAGCAGCTGCAAGACATGAAGCCCATAGTTAAAATAAAAAGATGGATTTATAGTGGATCATAGCCCCAAATGTTATGTGTTTGATTCAATGTCACTCAGGATTTGAGAAGTAATGCTGCATAATGGTTTCTTTTTAACACATAAATTTCCAACTTTTAACAATATTGGTCACAAGTAGTGATGAATTGGCCCATTTTATACTCGATGAAAAAAAAAAAGATATGTCAAATGGTTTTAAATATGTATGTTAGTTATTATAACCAGGTAACCTTTAGGGCATAGATTTTAGAAACTTGTTTGTATTTATGCTTAGTACTGAAGTTTTTTTTCTTTTGCTAAATGGAGACTTTTAAAGAAAAACTATGTTTTTTATATATCCCTATGGGATTCAAGTTCTGTTTGTATTTATTTCATCCTTTTTCAACACTAGTAGACCTATCTGTAATATTTACATGTCTTCCACAAAGTGTTCAATAAAATGTTACTTTTCAAAGAAAATGCAGTTTTACCACTATTACTCTTGTCTTCACGCCTGCCTCTTGGTAAGTAATTTGGCTGATGTGAGTAACCCATAGGAGTACAGGTATTTTGTTGATCTTGATCATAACATTGATGTCTCACTGTCAGCTTTTAGCTGCATGGTATGTAGAGATTAAATACGTACTTTAAAATAATGGAACAAAGTTAAAGCGTTTTAAGGCATGTTTTAAAATGCACACATTTCATTTTTTTGTATTTCTGAGTATGTCATGCTTTTTAGTAGTAGTTTTAACCTATAAAGAAGTACAAGCCATGGCACAGGCAAGCCAATTGCTTATAAATTTCTGTCGAAACGATAATATTTTAAGAATAAATCTAATGAGTTTTATTGGGTGGGGGTATATATATTTTAAGAATAAATCTAATGAGTTTTTTTTTTCTACTCTAGAAAATGTGCTGTTCAAAATCTACAATTCTATATAAATGTTTAAAAATAGTTGGTTTATCATAACTAGTTACATTATTTTCATAGAGTTTTACCCAACGGTGGTTAATAAACCACCGAAAAAACACTGTTTATATCAAATAGTAAGATCAAACGTCGTTAAGATAAATTCGTTACATTGTTTAATTTTCCTCAAACAATAATTTGTGGATTTCTGTATTATTTATTTCCAACCAAGATATTTAAATACAAATATTTACATTCGAGCGCTGTTAACTATTATTCACGTTTTTTGTTTTCAGACAGTTTATATGCTTTTTTAATGTAGTCAATGGAAGCTCGTGAATACGCCGGAAATACAGCTTTATAGACGACATCACTTCCGTAAACGTCATATTGGCGCGAAACGGCAGCGTCTTCATCCGGCAAAACATTCGTGTTTTTATTTACTGATGTATTTATCTTAGAAAGTAAAGACTGCGGCACAATACAAATAAATATTATTACTTTGCACTTTTTAATGTAACTAAAGCCGAGATGTCGACTACATCAGTGTCTAAGGTATGCTATCTTTTCAGACGTTCTCTTTAAAAGAATGTTTTTTATTGAACCTTTGGTGGTGTTTATTAAAAGAAATAAAAACCAAACTAGCGACCGTTGCTTGACTCTTTGTGTTTCAGGGCTGCTTTGTTTTTAAGCCGAACGCTAAGAAGAAAAGGTCGCTCACCGCGGGTAAGAATGAATTTTATCTCGGATAAAAAGTAAAAGACTGCCAAGAGATCATTAGGTCTGCATCTGTAACGTTGCCCCCCGTCCGTCCACAGAGGACTACTTCACTGGCTGTTCTGGAAGAGCTGAAAATAGTAAAGTTCGGTTCGGAATCTGTCAGAATTTGTGGGACAGAATCAAATCGGAAACAGAGGTGAACATGGTTAACACGCCGAGCACGAGTGATCGAAATCGTATTTTGATATGCAGTCAACAATGCAAAACTAAAGAACAGTGATAATGATAGTGATAAAATATAATTAAACCTAACACAACTTGACACAGGCCTGTACGCAGCATCATTTTTACAACAACATAAACAAATAGACCAAAACACAAAATAAAAACTGGATCAAGTACACAAATATTTAAAACATTCTTGGACTTAATTTTTTATCTTTTAAAGTCAAATGTTTAAGTTAATAACCTCGCAGATGAAAGAATTTAAATTTTCATGTTTTTTCCCTCCTGTGTCAGGCTTTACAGGATGAACTTAACAGAAACGTTTTGGACAGCTTGCTGGACTTGGCCAGGAAGTGCTCATCCACTCATCGCAGTAGTGACTGGGCATCAAAGATGAGAGCCAGTGAGATTCCCACTGCAGCTCTGGTCCTTGGTAAAGAGAGCATTACTTACCATTTATTTAAAAAAAATTATATAATTTTAGCTCTAAAAACAGATGTCATAAATGTATCCCTTTCTTTTCCTCTCCAGGTGTGAACGTCCCAGATCATGACATGACCTTCCAGAGTCTGTCTGAGCTGCTGCAGCAGTCCGTCACTCCTCATGTGGCCTCTGTACAGGCCAACGAGTGTGCGAGTAAGTTCCTGTTACTGCACTGTGTAATTGTCACTTTTATCACTGTCATTTTTTCTTCACTCGTGGATGTATTTTATGTTCACAACAGCACTAAAGCACTTGATGAAGAAGGTGCTAGAGAAGTTGACAGGTGCAGTTGTGGATGAGGAGGACGACGACGAGGAGGAGACTGAGCAGATGAGTGCACAGCTGCACAGGAGTGCACACTGCTCCTTCAGTACACTCTGTGATTGGTACAACACGAAAACCAGGGTGAGACTGTGGGGCATGACATGTGTTCAAATGTTTTTTTTATTATTATATTGTTGAATGTATGAGTGTCATCACTCAAATGTCCATCAATGAGTGTCGCTTACTGTGTTTGTTGTGTTGTAGAAATCCAGTAGTGGTACTCCTGGGAAAAAGCGCAGTTCTCCATCCAAGGATGAACCGCCACGGCCTCCTGTGGTGATCATTTTTAAGGACCTGGAGGCTTTTAATCCAAAAGTTCTACAAAACTTTATACTCATCTGCAGGTAGGCATATAAGAGGCATATAATACACACTAAATATTTTGTTTGTTTTGTTCTAAGTTTTTTTTCCTCAGTGTTTTGTTACATGGACATTTTGTTGGTGGTGAATCATCTCCATGTTCAACTCTTCTCCACAGTCTGTACATTGAACGTCTTCCGCTGATGTTCATCTTTGGCATCGCCACGTCTCCCAGCACCGTCCAGCACATGCTGCCGCACTCTGTGTCCTCGCTGCTGTGCATCGAGCTCTTCCAGTCCCTGTCCTGCACCCAGCACCTGGCCACAGTCATTGACAAAGTAGGTTTACAACACAAACACATCAGAACTTAATGCAGTGTAAAGAAAGAAAAGGTGCGTCTAAAAATTCCTCGGTAAGAGGAGAAGAATTGTAATTCGCGCCCGTTTGTAAATTTGATTTTTCATTTCTAGAACATTCGTTTAATATATTAACATAACAGGCTAACATTCATTCATCTATGGTCTCGCTTCTAAATAATAAGACCAACTCCGGAGTAAGAAGAAAAAAATGTTCTTCTACTTGGTAGTCGCCACACTCGCATCAGCGTCAGTTCCAGTTCGTTCCTTAGTTTCTTTGCCATAACTCCATTGCTCCATGTTCTCGGCTGCATATATTAAAATGTGCAGTTTAAATCTTGCAGTTTTCCCCCTCTTTTTGGCTGCATTTCATTCAAGTTCTTTATCAAAGTCTGTATGATTTAGTCGTGTGTTACTTCCTGCGGTGCAGCCTTCACGGATGTCAATAGTGGCCTCTTGTGGCCCTAAATGGTATTGGGTGTTATTTGATAATGTACATGTTAAAAATTAAAACCAAAGTAGCAAAAAAACCAACAAAATCGCTATTTATGGTCTAAAATATATGTTAATCAATTTATTTAAGATATTTTTCTTATGCTTGGCATAGTCTTTTATTAATAAACTGATTATTTCCAACATCGTATGTTGTTGATGTGTTTTCTTTTTTCATTTTCAGTTGATCCTGACACCACAATTCCCTTTTAAACTCAATGCTAAAGTGATGCAGGTGCTGATCAGCATCTTCCTCTACCACGACTTCTCAGTGAGGAACTTCATCAAAGGTGTTCAGGTACAGATCGGCCTCTTGGTCTTGATATGCCGTCAGTTCTACCTTTGCTCTAAAGCTGCATATCACTCCTGTGCCTCAATGTGTCTGTTCTGACTGGGTACAGTTGGCTCTGCTGGAGCACTTCCACTCTCGGCCGCTCAGTGTTCTGTGCTGTGAGAAGAAGGAGGCTGTGCAGAACCTGCTGCAGCTCAGTCACCAGGATCTGGAGCGAGTCAGGCAGCTGCCGTCGTTTAAGAGGTGCAACACGCACAACTGCCCAATTACAATTTTCTCAAATAAAAAACACTTTGAATGTAGTGTAACTGGAGAGTTTCCGTCAGATATGTGGAGGAGCTGGACCGACAGGAACAAGTCAGTCTGTCTTCAGATGACGGTCATTTGAAGGTTTGTTCTACTCTTTTTTTTTTTTTTACTTTTATCCCAGAGGTGACAGTCAATAATGGACACACTTGGACCTAAGACAACTGTCTCTGTTTTCAGGATGTGTGTCTGAAGCTGATTAAGAAACTTCACAAATACCACAAAAACTACTACCCTGTCCTGAGGTGCCTCCACACTCTGACCTGCTCATTACCCCGATACCCTCTGGGAAAACAGGCAAGAAACCTGATGCTTTTTGTCTAATTTTACAAAGTGTACATATATATATATATTTTGCATTATTTACTGAATGACTGACGTTTGCGTTGCAGATCAGAGAGCTTCATTTAATATGTCTGGAGAGCAATGTGTGGGAGAGTGAGGATTATCAATCTGCCCTGAAGCTTTTAAAGTAAGCTCCTAAATTATTCAATTTGTCAGAAAGCGGAACTAATAGATAACATATTTCTGAATCCTGAGCTAAAAGATCTAATAACAAGAAATATATGCCATACATAGATGTTCCTAAAATATACAGGAATGTTGACGTTTTGTGTTTTTTTTCCCCACCTCCTGGTAGTCTAAAGTTATTACCACTATCAGGGTAAACACCAATGTGCCTTTTGTTTTTTTTTTTTTGTTCCTCTGACCCAACAAGATAACGATCTGACCCAGGTGACATAGTTCACGTTGACTCTTTGAATATTAGCTGTTCGGAGCTAAACGTACTGTGATGTTTCCTGTCAGGATGCTGGCGAAAGACGAGCTGATCTCACTGCTGCAGAAGTGTGCGGAGATTCTTCAGGCTGTCAAGTCCAAGAAGATGAAGAGGGCTTTTGTCCAGCTGGAGGAGCTGCTGGACAAATTCAAGCAGTTGGATAGTGAGCAGGAAACCTGGTTAATCTGGGAATAGTTCATATTCTATTGATAATGTAGTTACACTCGATTCTCAATTGTTTGTCTTCTGTACTTTTTTTTTCTTTTTTGTTGTATTAATGCAGCAGCTGCAGAGACCGTCTCCAGCGTGGAGGAGATCGTCACCTCTCCAGTGAGGAATCTTCAGAAGAAAACTGACCTGTTTCAGCTGCAGAAGGTACAGTGACCGTCATTGGAGCAAAAGATTCACCAGTTTTTGATGATCCTTAATGTTTTGGTATTTACTGTGTACAAGTGGAGTCTCCACTTTCAGAGTTCCATTCTATTCTGGAATAAGCCTAGTTTGAATGAGGGTCCAACTCGGACAATAAGAGTTTGAGTTGAGTGTGTGTTTTGTTGTGCTTTGTATCCCAGAGCCTCATCCACACTGTTCAACAAAGGGTTTAAACAAAAGGGTTGCGGGAGTAACTGGGGTACAGGGCCTCTAAAGACAAACTACAAACTATATAGTCCTGACCATATTAACCCAGGGAGATGTAGAGAAATCTCAGACTTTTCTATGATGTCATTTCGTCAATCAACTTCCAAACTGGGGTTATATATGTGTGTATGTATGTGTATATATGTATATATATGTGTGCGTGTATATATGTATATGTATGTATATATATATGTATGTACAGTATATGTATGTATATATATTTACATATATACACATCTGTGTATATATGTGTATACACATATATGCATGTGTGTATATCTATACATATACAGTATATTATATATATTAACAATAATAACTGAAAATATATACCAGAGCAGGAAATCAAGTAATAAAACATACATTATTGTTTCAGACACTCCTTGAGATGAATGAGTCTCGGCGATCAAAGAGACTGAGTCCATTTGAAGTTCTACGAAATGAAGCTCTGGAGTTCATCGAAGGATTAGTCAAGTAACCGACACTACTGTTCAATTCTGCAGAAAACCGCGATTGAGTTTAATGTTACGAGATCAGCGGTGATGCTCATTCTTAATGCATTCTTCTCTCCCTCTCCCAGGAATCACCTTTTCCCTCCAGAGTCCCAGACACTGTATGAAGTCTGCTACTACAGCTCCTCTGCCACAGTGAGGCGCCACCTCAACGCTACACCTCGAACCTCTGTTCAAGCTGCTCTCAGCAGTCCTTATTATTATATTCAGGTAAATTCCAGCTCAGCAAGTGTCAAAGACTTTTTTTGATGATGTTCTCCATTTAAACGAATTGTTTCTTTTTCATTTTCAAGAATGACAAGCTAAAGGCTGAGGATGGGTCAGTGTCTAATGCAGCTCCAGATATCTGCATCGCCTACAAGCTGCACCTGGAATGTGGCAGACTGATCAACCTGTACGACTGGCTGGAGGTGAGATCTGTCATCGTGTTTCTTAGAAAAAAAGGAAAAAGAATCACCAGTGAAAAACAGATAAAGACAAATTTTGTTTGTTTTCTTAACTCCAATGTTTTTTTACACAGAAGAGACTTGAATTGATCCTGACTATCAGCAGGTCAAGTGATTGATTTGTAGCTCAGACATGAAAACACGTGCTTGTTTTTTAGGCCTACTCCACAGTGGTTTCTGCTGCCGAGGGCAAGGATCCAGACTCGGAGGATTTCGGGAAAGTTGACGAAGTCAAACAGTATCTTTTCACTGCTTTATCTATGTATCTATGTCTAGTCATGAACTTTGTTTTTTAAACAACACTGTGTTGTTGATGCACTGTAGTGTATTTGGATGTAGTGTGAGTTACAGACCATGGATTTGAGCTAAACCTTGGCATAACTTAAAAAGTAATTTTTCAAAACTCCCAGGAATGATCACATCGCTTGGCATAACTTAAAAAGTAATTTTTCGAAACTCAGGAATGATCACATCACAGGGGTGACGTGCAGTCAGAGTGACAGATGGGTTCAGAATAATGACATATCAAGTAAAGGGGAGCTCTGATAGACTTGCTCAGGGAGCGATCTGGCCTCAAAGTCCATCGACGGTATTTGTGCAACGGCTAAGTATTTCAAAAAATTGTGTTCACTGTCTGTAAATGTAATTTCCCAGCTTCAGTGCTCATGTTCATCTTAAATGGCAATAATAAAAACACGTTAGGAGTGATCGAAAAAAACATGAGATTAGGTCAGGACAGTGAGGTAAGGTGTGCAATCAGAGTGACAGATGGGTTTGGAATGATGGTAGACAGCATCAGGTAAAATTGAGCTGCTAAAGAAATAGCAGGTCAGGTAGGATGATGGGACACCAACAAATCCCATAAAACTGTGCTCTC